AGAATTCATTTCAGCCAATTTTCAAGTCTCTGAATGCTATTGTGAGTTTTTATACTGACAAGCTGTCTACGCGGGATTTTCCCGTGGTTTTCTGGGAAACTTGATACGCGGAAAACTACGGAATACACGTGTGGTCAAGTGAGTGAAGGCAAAATAGGGGTACAAACGTTTGTAAATTTGTCAATTTTTAACGGTAAAATAATACCTGACTTAATGTAAAGGTCTCCTTTCTGTTGCTAGTATCAATTTTACACTTGACTTTGCTTTTAAGCAATTCGAATTTGCAACCAACATTTTGACGAAGGGTCTACACTGACATACCAAAATGTCTCAAATGTCTCTTATTTTTAATTTCTAACAACAGAAAAAAAATTATCCGACCAGACTGGCTTTTTGTCTGGTCAAAACTTGTCTTTGGCCTGACAAATGACCTGCTTATAGACAAAAATTATTTGCAGGCTTGGTGGCACGAGCAGTTACGAGAAAGGAACCAGGTGCATGGCATGTCTACATCAAAAGTTGTGTCCAGTAGGGTAAAATAGGTAGCACGCAGAGATTTCTTAAAGATACTCAGTCTCAAGAATATTTCAGGAGAGGCTAGTTTGCAAATACGTTCCAGGGTTTTACAATTCTGTTAACGAATCCTGAAAAGAAGGGGTTTTAAGCAAACAGGGTTTAACACAAGGGTAGGGTCGGTAGGGTCCAGAGTGTGAGAACCGCCATGCATAACAAAAGTAACAATCCGATTAAGGTTTACTTCAGTAGCTCAAGAAATAATTATAAAGTAAAAAAAGATCTCGGATTTCCCTGTCATAAGTTAGTGGTAGTAAGCCAAGAGTCAGCAGTCGTTGGTAAGAAATGTTGGTTTTCAGGAGGGAGGAAAATCGGATTGGGTGGAGAAAACCCTCACCTGTTGCTGGAGAAGTTAGCTGCCACGGGAGCAGCTTTTCGCGCATAATTACGGCGATTCTGGAGTGCTCTAATTTATAGTGTAAACATCACATGTTTCGGCTTGGTATGTTTCAAACTATGGATTACATTCAAAGAGGGTATATAAATCTTTTCCAAGATCTTCCGTGAAATTCTTGAACTGCAATCTGATGAAATGCAATCAGATAACGGTGTAATGATAAACTCTCTACGGTTCCACTTTAGCCTCTCCATGGGCCCCAGTACCCTCTCTCTTTTGCCACTTTCATTGCCTTCGGATCCGAAGGTTTGTTCAAGATAGGAACCATCCCCTTGAAGTAATACTGCACTCTATCTTGCAATTTCTTCACCACATCCGGGAACTTTGCGCTCCGGTCTACATGTTCATTTGGGTCAGCAGTAATGTTGTAAAGTGCAACTTTTATTCTGGAACTGTCACCCACATCCTGCCAATAAAGTTACACAAGAAATACTGGTTGGTTGATCAAGAATGATAATCTAGAGCAATCTCAAAGTTCAAGGTACCATAAACGAGCCAAAGTCTCAATTCTGGAGAAGATTGTACAGGAAAAAAAAGTCAAAAAATGTACTCAGACACCGTTGTACTATAATTTCAATTTTTCCTTCCATATTATCCAGGGGTATGTTGTTTATAATGAGAGGCAGGGATTTATGGTCCACACGTGCAAGGGTTGTTATGTCAGTTATCTACCTGTAATATGTAAAATATATGAAAGCAATCATAGAAAAGAACTGATCATAGTTTAAAGGAGCTCACTCACGTTTTGCGCACATTGAAAAGTTTAGCCTCAATTTTTCAA